ATTCAAAAATTCATTAAAATATAATTTATTTCTTATAAACTATTTTAATAAAAAAAATAATATCTAGAAAAAAAAACCATTTACATACTGTATTTATCGCCGTGGAAATATTATTATTATGAAAGACCTAGTTTTCAATAAAATACATAAAGGCTAATAATAATTAAATATTAAAAATAATAAACCGAGACATACATAGGTCAAAAGGAAACATAAACATATTGATTTCAAATTGAATAACCGTATAGGTAATTCAATAATTTGGTAGGTATTGAATATCTCACATGACCTTTTCAAACCAATTTTATACAACACTGGTTTCTTTCCAGACAAATGGTTAGAGTAGCAATTCTTTGGCTCAATCAAATATTGCACAATTACTTGATTTAAGCTTGAATATATACTATGTATTTAACGGTATATTTACTTAAATAATACTCATCATCATCATCATCTCAGCCGTTATGTGTCCACTGTTGAACATAGGCCTCCCCCACAGATTGCCATAAGGAACGGTCTTAAACCTCCACCATCCACTGACTCCCTGCAATGCATTTGTGCTCGTCACTCCAGTCGTATTACACCTAAGTCCTTTTTAAAAGGCCGGCAGCACACCTCAATGCCGTCCTAGTCACCTCAGTTTGCCCCCTGTGTTGTAAAAAAAAAAAACGTTTGCCCGTACGAGGTCGCCACTCAAGAACCTTTCTTTCTATAGGTTATCGTTTCTTCGAGCTATGTGACCAGCCCATTGTCACTTCAGCTTGCTTATCCTTCGGGCCTTATACCTTAAATAATACTAAATAGGTATAAATTATCAACAATGATGTTTTTTATCTTCGCATAAATTACTTCTTTATTCTGTGACTGTATCTAAAAGCAAAACAAGAAACAAATAATAAGATCAAAGTCAGCTAAATAGGTTTTTCTCCAACTGGGGACTTTGAAAATCGAAATGACAAACACGCTTTAAATTGTTCAATATAATATAAATCACTATTAGTATTAACATAAGGTATGAAATAGCGTGGCAAGCTGTTTAGGAAATCCAAAGTTTGATTAAGGGCCTGTCGTATTGTTCATTAAACTTGGATTAAGTTTGCGCTGGATGGAACGAGCCGGCAGGCAGTTAGCGTCGAGAAAAAACACAACAGCCATCGGGGGTAAGTAACTTTACGAAAGAAAGTTTGTTGCGATAAGAATGTCTTCTGATCGACATTGATTTAAATAGCTATCTTCATTTACAGTAGCCGTTTTAGAAATAAAAATACTGGCTAGATTTTTGTGATTTAATAATATATAAATTTTATTTATGCTTTTCTCAAAATCTAGTTGGTATGAAATATTTAAATAAAAAATATTATAAGACAATACCCAATACCTAGTAACTATATCAATACTTGGTAGGTACACACTTATATAGGTATTGATTTCATCCTAATTCTACTTTTAATGAAACAATAATTATAATATAGATAATAGTTATAATTTCTACTTAAAAAAAAGGTATTTTATCTTTAGACCGAGAAGTATAAAGCTGTATACAAAGTAAATAGTGAAGCGATAATTAATAAATTTGCTAGGAAAATATAACCAAATTTTATTTCTATACCTAAATACTTATATAGGTATTGATTTCATCCTAATTCTACTTTTAATGAAACAATAATTATAATATAGATAATAGTTATAATTTCTACTTAAAAAAAAGGTATTTTATCTTTAGACCGAGAAGTATAAAGCTGTATACAAAGTAAAGAGTGAAGCGATAATTAATAAATTTGCTAGGAAAATATAACCAAATTTTATTTCTATACCTAAATACTTATATAGGTATTGATTTCATCCTAATTCTACTTTTAATGAAACAATAATTATAATATAGATAATAGTTATAATTTCTACTTAAAAAAAAGGTATTTTATCTTTAGACCGAGAAGTATAAAGCTGTATACAAAGTAAATAGTGAAGCGATAATTAATAAATTTGCTAGGAAAATATAACCAAATTTTATTTCTATACCTAAATACTTATATAGGTATTGATTTCATCCTATTGAAACAATAATTATAATATAGATAATAGTTATAATTTCTACTTAAAAAAAAGGTTTTATCTTTAGACCGAGAAGTATAAAGCTGTATACAAAGTAAATAGTGAAGCGATAATTAATAAATTTGCTAGGAAAATATAACCAAATTTTATTTCTATACCTAAATACTTATATAGGTATTGATTTCATCCTAATACTGCTTCAATAAAATAGTAATTACCTATACCTAATCTAAATAATAGTTATAATTTTTACTTTAAAAAAGGTATTTTATCTTTCGACTAATAAATATTATTCTGAATATGAAATAGTTTATGATGCAGTAATTAATAAACTTAATACATTTTAATCTGGTTTTAAATTTTTTTTTATACAACTTAGAATGGCAAACAAGCTGACTGCCCACCTGATGGAAAGTGGTAACCGTTGCCTATAGACATGAGCAGTACTATTTCGCCCATTATACCCCCCATGCATTGCCATTCCTGAGGACTCAGGTGATATTCCTCTGTACCCTGTAAATTCACGCCATATCCCACCCTTCAAACCGAAACACACACATGCAAACACAACTGCTTTACGGTTGAAACACGAATGAGACAGAGGTACCCAAGCAAACGACTTTTGTACAAAGTCTCCCTCTGGTAGACAGGTGGTAGTAGGGGTAACAAATTAATTTCCTGACCATACATACCTACATACCTATTTAGTATCCAGAAAATAAAATTTTTAGGTCACGATCACACAATTTATAATCAAAATTAACGCGTGGAAATTTTTAAATCACCTGCAAGTTCCAATTTACATGGACGTCTATTAATAATTGTTATTTAGTTTAATATGAAATGTGTTCTTTGAAATGATGAACTAGGTATATTTTGATTATTTTATTAAGCAATCGCTTCTTAGGTAAAACATTATCTCGCTACATTTATCTGTAAAGATAGGTGCATTTTTCAAATATATTTAAACTCTATAGACGCAGATTGAGCTTCCTATAGCTTATTAATAGCATCGTGCACAAGATATACATCTATTATTGATCAAACATTCATTGATCGGGTGTTACCACCTTTTGTGCCTGCAGCCGGTTGGAAGCCATGACGCAGCATTATAGAACAGATGACCCTGCTCTTACCATTGTGATCATCTAATTCAATAAAATCACCAGACATTTTTGTTTATTTGTTGTTGGTGGCTCTTTGTCGGTGGATCTCAGTGTTATGCTGGCGGCTTACATACGTATCTACTCTGACTCGGAGACCATGATTTTTGTTTTCTTAAGATCGGTCATGGTGAGGTAATCCCAGTGACAACATTAGGATTATGGTGGTCGTATATGATATACACATTAATTAGTTATAATAAAGTAAATTTAGGACACAATATATGTAACTACAGATTCCTTATTTAGTTTATATTTAGTTAATACTAGCTTTACGTTTTTGTTGATACAATTGGTATGATCTATTGTTATTAGTTTATAATCTACATTATTATTCATATAAAGATTATTTCTTTTGTACCCGATAATACGTTTCTTATAATTTTTATAATATATGCACTTTATTTTTGTAAGTTATTGAGTTTTGTCTAGATATAGATAGTATGCCATGTATAGTCTTGACAGAAAATGGGTTACCCCTTCTTTTCCATTAGGTGTCGTAAAAAGGAGAATAAGGAAACTTAATGGTTGAGGAAGGTAGCAGTGTCCCTCTTAAAACATCACCAAAACCTAATTGCGATTGCCAATCTGCCCACCAAAAGGTTACTAGCAAAACCCCCCTTATAAGAGAGGTATATGTTTAGCAGTGGGCAATTATTTGTTGATATAATAATAAACAAGTAAATAATAAATAAGTAAGTAAAAATAAATAGTAATATTATCTAGATATTTTGTAGTCTTTTTGTCGTTTTTCAGGCTTAGTAATTTCTAAAAATAAAATAACTGAATAAAGAAAAATTTTATTATCAGAGCAATTTAATTTATTTTAATTTTTGGTACACTCACCATCCACATTGAATTAAAACGTCGATATAAGTGGATAGAATCATAGATATGACAATTTGACGAGCTGCTTAGAATTATTCTATAAAAAATCATTAAACTTTGCTTATTAATATAATCTAATTATCAACTATTAAAAAAATTCACCACTAGAAGGCGAGTAGGTAGGTACTATAGGTAATGAAAAACTAAAAGAAATTGGATATTAAATATTTAAAATGCCGCGTCGTTACGAATAGAGACCATGTTCGTTTTGTATTATTATTAAAACGGCTTCTTTAATACCATCTACGCAAAAAGCTAATACTGAGTCTCTTTCTCGTTTACTCTTCGCAAAAACTCTTCTGACAGAAAAGGATAGTTATATTTAAACTCTTTGTGCTTGAAATCGTCGCTGATATTTCTATTTCATTCGCACGTATACAGTTGTTTATAAGTGGAAGGGGGAAAATTATTGTTGCGGTTTGATGCTTTAGAGAAGAAGTGCGATTTATTATCAACCTTAAATGTATTATAATAAGGTTTGAATTTGAACTTGCGTTTGTGAAGAAGATAGCATAAGAACAGCACCGCCTTAAAAATGGAAGGTGGTATGTAAAAATTGATGAACATGTATAGGAGTCCTTAAAGTGACAGAGTGCGCTGGCGTGTTGGACAGTCAGTGTATATTGTCTCAAAATGTCGTCGCAGGATAGCGCGTCTTCGACTCCATTGTTTATAATTAAAAAGTGATAAATCAAATGACTTTGCAAATATTTTGTTTCAATAAAAACTTGTAAATTCCTGAACTGAATAGCAACAGCGGAACTTTGATATTTTGTTTGTGACAGTGAAACGTTTAAAAGTGGACTTTTACTCTTGTAAGTGTAATATAATATTGTGACTATTTTTTGATAATAAAAAAATCTAAAAATAATAATTAATAATCTATGAAGAATTCATAATAATATAAAACGACTTTAGTGTGATATTTGTTCATAAAGTGATTGAAAACGGTGTGTTATGATTAAGATATCTCTATTTCTAAAATTTTAATAATATTTTAGGTACTTAAATAATTTTGATGAAAAGACATTTTTGTGGGGCAGTGTATCTCTGTGTGTTCTGGCTTATTGTGGATAAACAAACCTACCTATTGAAGGATCCTTGCGAGAACTAATAGTGGTAATAATTGTGCTTGTTCATTAGAAATATATTAATACATACACGTACCTACTACATTGTCTTCCCCGTGGCAAAGCTACAACTTAGTTTTTCAGTTAACTACAATACAGTCGAGACCAATACTGTCTTACTATATATGTAACAAAATAAAGAGCAATAACTATAAAATAAAGAAATAACCATTGAACTATGCAATGTTCCCGTGACGTTTGAATGGCGGCCATATTAACAGGCGTGTTGAACGAGAGGTGATGCGCCGACTCGACCACGCCCACCATGAGCTCCTTCCTCATGAACGGTGGATACCAACCGCAACCGGACCCCAAGTTCCCGCCTTCCGAGGAGTACAGCCAGGCAGACTACATACCACCAGGGGAGTACTACCAACATCAGCATCTACAATATGGATACCAACATCAGTATGCACCTGTGCAGATCGGGACAGGATATGGTTATGGAGGATACTATCACCCGTTGCCTCAGCACCCACCTGTGGCACCACCACCTCGGCCTCCTGAGCCCTCGCATCCGTCTGACGCAGATCACGGATACGCACCGCCTCATAGTGGAGAAGTAGCGCCAGGTCTTGCTGAACTTGGCTTAAGGTTAGAGAGGCACATCGAAGAAGCAGCACCAGCTGGAAGGAAGCTTCATGCACTCGGTCGTGAAGGGTCACCAGCTTCGGAGATGGATGAGGAAAGGCTCTTGCTAGATAGTCCGCCGGTAGAAGACGACGACTCTTCCATATGCTCCGACAATACAGACAGGGTCATTTATCCTTGGATGAAGAAAATACATGTTGCTGGGGCCTGTGAGTATTGTTTTATCATTACTAATTTATATTATTACAAATATTTTCCTGCAATTTCGTCTGCGTGGCCAGAATATGTTCACTGACCGAGATCAAAGTTGCCTATGCTCTTCTCCGTCCCATATAATATGTCTATACCAAATTTCATAGTGATTAATTGTCGTTATGGCGTTAAGTGGTAACAAACAAACAAACTCACTTTTATGTAAAATTATAGTACATATGACGTATTTATTGAAAAGTTTTTGATAAATGTGTGTATTGAATATTGACAAAAATAAATCATCTTTATTAGAAGTAACTTTCCTTTGTCTCTGGGGACGTATAGATAGGTGAAATGTTGAAATCAGTACTACGAGTATCTTTTATATATTTGGAATATTTGGATGAGAAAAATAAAAATAAGCCTCAAAACTGCCAGTGACAATTTCTTACAGAAAGAAGTATTAATTAAAAGAGAAATATTAAGGCGATAACTATGAACTTTCTTAAAACTGAAGCTATTTAATTGATGAGTTAACATTGACTTTACACATAATAGTTTAATGACGTTACTTTATAGCACTTTAGTAGTATTTCTTAGTACATACTTAAGTTTAGGAAAACTATTAATGGAAGGGTTTCAGGTTTTACCCACGTGCCAATTCGTATTACAGCCTACACGTACGCCATAACTTACGTATTGTTGTTTTTAAATTACCGTTTTATTTTAATATTAATTTTGTATTTTTATTTATTTTCTCATTACTTTGCATTGTTAATTATATTCTTATTTACTGTTGACTAATAGATAACACCATATTGTGTTAAATCCACCATTTACACTAATCAGAGGTAATTGCCTACCATTTACAGTAATACAAATAACACTTTTGTATGAGTAATATACTTAGATAACATACCATAGATGAAACAATACACTCCAACAATAGCCCGTAGGTACCTTTCAGACTTAAACATGATTGCCACATTTCTGGTATATTGTTAAATGTTTATTACTTAAACTTAGATAAACATACAATTCTATTAACGACTAATTGTATAGATAATATTCTAGAACATATTGTCAATAAATATGCCTTCACAATACTATACAAACAATTCAGATAAATACGGACAGGAAATTAGTTTTAACTAAATATAGTTTAAAGTTTAATGAATAAACAATAAATTGATAACATTTTAAACTATGGTTATATGATTTATACTTTCAGTTAATACCTATGTAAAAATCTATTTACCTATCTATTTATTTGTCAGTAGTAAATAATTAGTGGCAAAATTTGATATTTTACATGTTGATGGTAATTAAGGGTTAATGTAATACTGTTGATTGTTTGTTAATTAACGACTAATGAAAAATAAGCACCTTTATAAAATATAGTAGGTAATATATGAGTATAATAATATTCTTATTCAAGTATTGAATACCTATCTGTGAGAAAAAAAATCTAGTTCATGTTCGTGCATAATGTGAACAACATACACAAAACACCGTCATTAACGAAACATTAATATCTTTGAACGAACATCGTATATAAATATTTTTTGTTTACAATATTTTTTATTTGGCAGTTAATATGTCCTTTGCGCAAAATACGACCGCAAAATATCTTTTAAAACATTCTTACGTCAGCGGCGGATTCGTCAAAGAATTAACAAATTGCTCGCAATCAATAACACTCGCCGTCTTTACAAGGAGGTCCTTCAGTTATGTGTCCTTTGATGTGTTTTGACAGTTTACTAATGCGATGCCATTACTATTCTGTAAAGACGCCAGGTTCCCTTCAATTGACAATGGGACCCAACACTCATGTTAATGAGTGTCGTTTATTTTTATAGCTTTTAAATAGCTGTTTCTGGTCGAGAATTTACCGTAAAGATTATCGATATCTAGTTTTTGTAAGATTTATTCTCTTGATAGTTTAAGCTCAACTAGTTTTTCATGGGTGTCGCATTCTATTGTGAAATGCGGAGCGTGTAGTAATTTGTTTTCTAGTTTTTATGTCTTGTTATTAAATTCAATTTGGCTTGTATTATCCTTTTTTTTAATTGATTTTCATTTAAATATATTTAGTAACGGTATCGTTTTAAATGAATTGTACCTTCTGATTAGTTATTCGGATTAGGATTTTTTTGCTTTGTCAAAGGATGTTTTTATAAATTAACTAGTAACCCTTAATTTGTTTATTTTGCGTGGTTGATTTCGAAGCCTTTCATTGTTTATTAAAACAAACAAATGATCATAAAAGTTTTTATCTACAAATGTACAAAATGGTCACATGGAAAATTTTCTATTATAATTTTTAGTACAGTAAACGTATTATGTTTTTTTTTTTTAATTTGATATAAGTATAATTCTTCTCTGAACCACCATATCAGCCTTTAATAGTCCACTACTAAATGTAAACCTCCCCTTTGGGGATTTCGCTAGTAGTTGCCATGATTGGCAGGCGGATTGGCAACCGCAGTTAGATTTTAGAGATGTTTAAACGCTGCTGCCCACCTCTCGCCCTCTCTTAGTCACCTTTGACACTTATTTATCTCTTAATAGTTTTTGGATACTGTATCCGATATATTTTGTATTATACAGGTCTATTCTATATGCCATATGTCATAATCATTTTCATTTTATGTTGTTAATCTGTTTATACCTATTAGGATTATAAATCTAGAAACATGTAGCGACAACTAATAAGCTGAACTAACTACAATAACCTTTGATGTACAGATGAGACATAATTTCAAAGTTAACAAATAAGACGCTTAATGTGTATGCGTGTTATGTGTATGTATATTTACAAAGTCGCAGTTTACAGTTAGTATTTATACCAAAAGCCATTTTGGTTTAGGCATAGTCAGAATTAGTAATATTTTTAGTTATCTATTTTGTAGCCTGTTCAAATTTCATAATCAATGAAATTGATGACAGCTCTTCTAATAGCAAATTATGCACATTGTATAGACGATTCGATGACAGATATTGACGATGATGTGTAGTTATTGTATCTAATACAACACAGAGTGACTCTTGGGGTTATAATAACAAAGAACACAAGAATAATATGAGAGAACGTAATTAGGTACACGCGACCGATTGATGTCAAGTCCTTCGATTGTCCATGATGCAATATTTAGTCAAACATTACTCGTCGGGTCAAGAGCATTAATGAACCGGTTCCTTGATTGATTACCGATAAAATTGCCAGCATCATATTTGCTGTTCCGTCGAGGCTTCGGGTCTTCCTTATCGACACCTGTCAATGGGCCAACATTTTTCATTATAACAATAGTGGGACGATTCCAGATATTACGTTCAACGTAATGAGGCGGGACCACCGGGCGGGATTGATAGCGCTCGCGTCGCGAGATCGACTCGAGATTAACAGATCGCTTATGAGACCACACGTTCGTTGCAGGTAGCCCGTAATTCAATTCAGATTGTCATCAGCATGGTGACGTGTACCGCCGCTAACGAAGCGAAGATGGAACGCGTGGATCAGTAGCCGCGTAACGGCTCGTGTTTTGCAGTGCGTGACGATGATAATGTATAATGAATCTTATTATCATATTATATGGATATGATGAATTTGGATTCTTATAATGTGAAGATTTGAAAGAAATTTATTTATCATTTGTAGACAAACAAATATAGATATTCATCATATTGGGTAACAATATCATAATAGTGAAATTACTATATTTGGTCTTTTACATTAAAATTACTGTAATTTCAACTAATTCTATAGTTAAATTAAGTAGATGAAGAAATCCAATTCATAAATCTTTAGGTACTTTTAAAACAGGTTACTCTTACTCTTGCTTCATTGAATTTAATATTAATTCTTTTAAAGGACATACATTTTCAAAGCTTTCATTTTTATAATCGCATTAATTCTACATTTATGTTTTTTCTCTTATACCCAAGATTAAGTTTTATTTACACGAGTGGAGATAATAGTGCTTTTGAAATTATGTCAAAGTAAGCGTTACTTCTTATATTTTCGTTTATATAGGCTATACGGTAATATTTAGACTCCTTTCCATTTTTGTCCTTGTTTTAAATACTCCCTCTTCTTTTTTGTCTTCTATCAATGTCTGATATAACGATATAGATCCTTTCATCTCAATAATCGTATCTTTGGTCTTCTTCACATTTACTTTCATATTTCGGTTACATTATAGTCATCATTTGTTGTAATTCGCAATTATTTAATTTAATTATTAATTTATGTCTTAATCCTTATTAATATTATAAAATGTGTAAGTGAATTCGTTTATTACTTCTTATAGTTCTGTCTCTGTAACAGCTGAACCAATTGCTTTGAAATGTAGTATACACGTAGGTACTGTATGGAATGAAGATGGATATAGGCTGCTTTTTATTCTGATCTACAAATATGAATATATTTCAGGTTTCAGTGACTTCTTTTGAAACCTTATTAATTATTTATGATATCATTCAACAAATAAAATTACGAGTACATAATCGACAGTTTTCGATTAAGTAATACTCGTCTCCTAATATTATACCTTGTATGTTTTAATACCAATCTATATGTACGAGATTGTAGGTATATTGCTCAGCCCACGAACCCGGATCAATGTGGCGTCGTCATTCTGACCACTAGAAATCTCGGAACTCCGGCCAACCGCACATACCAGGCTGTCCCAAACCGCGGATTCCCTTAGAAATTCCACTGCCGGCCCAATATCTTGTCGCCATCTCTTTCTGAGCACTGCCCATTTACTAGTATTTTATTTTATTCCTCTTTTTATATACTTTACCTAACTAATGTTACTATCAGATTAGTGGTTAGATTTCTCAGAAATAGTTCGAGATATAAATTTTATCTATACTAATATAATAAAGCAGTGGGTATGTTTGTATGAACACGCTAATCTGTAGCTAGTAGTCGGGTTTGAATTATTTTTTCATTTGATTTCTTGGGTAAGGTCATAAGCTATTTAACATCACGACACGGTCACGGGTGAAGCCAGGAGATATAGGTAGTTCAATATAATTATCTAATTTTTGTAGTAGTCTAAAAGCAACAAATTAGCTGAATATATTTAAATGAAATTTGAAACACAGACCGTGTTACATTTAGAAATATGTATATACATATACCTACAAAGGACACTTTTATTCCAGTAATACGTCCCCGTGACGTATTTTATAATTGAAGGTCATAGCGTTCAAAGTTACAAACTCATATAAATCATATTTCAAGCATAAATGTTTTGTATAGGTATAATCGTTCAATTTAAATCACTTTCTTACAAACTTGTGGCTGTAAGTTCTATTTTGATTACAACAAAAATGTTTTTAACAGCTTAAAATTTATTGTTAATACGTAATATACAATAAGAACGGAAATATCACTTATTCGATTTATTACTAACAGGCCATATCTATTTATTAACCAAGAGCAGAATCACCTGATAAAATCTTTCCCTATATCCACTCAATTCTAAGATTATAGGATGAACATATTTGTTAAATTGATATAATCGAATTTTAGGTGAAAACCACTAAATGAGCTTCTAAAGTTTTTGTAAAGGAATAATGTAACTTTTATTTTGCGTTGAATATAAAGGCAATTTCCGGCGAAGGAAATTAAGGGAATGCTCGAAATCAGCCCGACAATGGCTTTATTTCGTGGCCAGAATTGTTGTGTAGTAATTGTGTTGAAGTACTTAGTTCGCAAAATGTAGACTATTTTTGTTATAACTATATAGATACTTTCTTATTAAACAGATAGATCAAAAGTGGGTCCACTTAGCATGATTTAATTTCTGTTGAGTTAGATCTATGTACACATTGATTTATATGTTGTGTTTGATAGCGATCATCATCATCATTATTATCATCTCAGCCATTATCTGTCCACTACTGAACATAGGCCTCCCCTATAGACTGCCATAAGGAACGATCCTAAGCAACACATCCGTTGACTCCCTGCAATGCGTTTGAGATCGTCACTCCATCTAGGGGGTCATCCTACACTACGTTTGCCCGTACGGGGTCACCACTTAAGAACTTTTCTTTGGAATTTGTCACGCAAAGAGACTCCGAGTATAGCCCTCTCCATACCTTGATAGTGATACTTTATATAAATAACATTTATTACATTAGAGGTCCGATACATACGACGTTGTATAAAACTATTAGAGCTAATATTGATTGTATTATTTTTATCTGGTATGTCACCAATGGTAAATTATCTTCTAAACATCTGTAATTCTGTGCTTGTAACTTATTTAAAAAGATCTCGATAAAATAGAAATTTAATCGAACGCGAAATGTATAGATATAACAATTATAATAAAATAGAAACGGTTTTTTGCATTTCATTAATTCTATATACAATGGACAGACAAATAAGACAATGGCTTTATTTCGTGGCCAGAATTGTTGTGTAGTAATTGTGTTGAAGTACTTAGTTCGTATAGTAACTTATTTAAAAAGATCTCGATAAAATAGAAATTTAATCGAACGCGAAATGTATAGATATAACAATTATAATAAAATAGAAACGGTTTTTTGCATTTCATTAATTCTATGTAGTTATTGTTACGGAATATATAGAAAATATATGAATTCAAATAGGATCTTCGATACCTGTATCCACTGTACAGTTCTTTGTAGAAGATATTTGTGATTTGTGTCATGCATCTTTTTACTCACTGTTGGAAACTGTTATTGTCTTTTTTTATTTGGCCATGTGAAATTTATTTTATTGATTCAGATTCTTTATTTGCATTAAACATAGTTACGTTAGATGAATAATCCAATTATATGTGATTCGGGCTATATGTAAAATTATGCATACCAGTACTTTAGTGAAACATGTTATATATTATCTAAAATTTTAAAAATTAACAACTATATTAATTCTATTTTATTTGTTCTTCCTATATAATCATTTCTCGCTTTCATAAAGCGACGTCTTTGGTGATTCTTGTTACCGAATAGTTTTCCATGACACCATTTTTAAGACATTAACCTATTTCCAGCATTCATGTTTTATATTGATAGAACCACATACTCTATTTTTAATATTAGTAAGGTCAAGTTCTTTATTATTTTTTGTTTACATCTTGTTTCGTGTATTTTTGTATCCATGATATTTATAAATATAACGCCGCTAAATAAAATCGCTAGCAGTAGGTAGGTACAATATTTGTCCCCGCAGAAAAGTAACGCTATCATCTGGAGATTTATTATTCCTGTACCTGTATTTTCGTCCAGCAGCTAATAGATTTTATGTCCTCTGTTTCTTCACTACTTAAATTCTTTCTCTATTCGAGTTTTCACTATACAAAAGAAGATATAGAAAATTTAAAAGAAATATAGTATATTGTTTGAAGAATATATTAAGTGCTTAATGATAAGCGTAACCAAAGTTAAATTATTTAATTTTTTAGACATTTTAGAACTTTGGCATTACCTACTAGTACAGGCAACATAGATCGAAAGAGGAAAAAATTTATGTAAACTTCAAACTTGGCAAAGTTATTTGTTTAACGTAACACTTGTAAAAAAGGTACATAAATAAAAAAATATTATATAATTTCTAAAACTTATAAAAATATAAAAAAAAAACTTACAGAAAAAATATTATTATTCATATAAAAAATCGCCGTTGCTTATTAAGCTAATTATATTTTTTTCTTAGCTTAATTACAAGATAATTAATTGACGTCAATTAAAAGCATAATTCTTTTGTGCAACATTGTGTAGTATCATATCATATTATCACACTCTCAGCGCACTGCGGCCATTTTGTTTAAAAAATGAACTAATTTGCTAGACTCAATTAATCAAAACAAAAAGGAAGCTCATGCTCGTGCATGTGTAATTATTATGCACATTAATTAACATGGGCCCGCGAGGTTGCTACATAAATTATTCAGTACGGTGTTCTGGCACGCAATGTGCTACCTTATTTGTGCGTGCTACCATTATATGTTTATATATTTAAAACATTGTATTTTATTGGCTTGTTTACAACCAGCTTAGTACATATTTTTAAGTAAATGTGTGTAATTAATAATGTTGGCAAACTGGATTTATAACACTAATTTTTTAATCTACTTAAATGTAAAATAAGCAGCAACGTTTTAAGCATTTATTAAGTTCATGTAAAATAAATTACAAAAATACAAAAATGTAAGACATTTTTGTAATATAATGTAATTTGCAGTTCTGGAAACTTTACTAAATTAATAAAAAGCTACATCATTAGTGAATATTTAGTTGCTGTCTTAAGTAAGGTTGAGGCTTTTATGCTATTAAATATGATTAGTTTCATTGTTTTCAAGCGAGATACATCGGCAAGTGACAGTATTTTTTTCTTTGATGCTTAGAATCGCAAACAAGCTGATGACTTATCTAATGGAAAGAGTTAACTGTCGCCTGGTGACATGAACAGTACCATAGATATCACACGGTATATTAAAACATCGGTCATTTTCAAAAATAATGAAAATATAATTATGCCAGAGGAAGACTTAGTTTAAAAGTCGATTGCTTGGGTACCTCTGTCCCATTCGTGTTTCAACCGTACAGCAGTTGTTTGCATGGCTGTGTTTCGGTTTGAAGGGTGGGATATGGCGTGAATTTACTGGATACGGAGGAATAACACCTGAGTCCTCAGGAATGGCAACGCATAGGGGATATCATGGGCAAAACAGTATACTTTGTTATGTCCATGGTACTGCTCATGTCTATAGGTGACGGTTACCACTATCTATCAGGTGGGCATAATATATATATATATATATATATATATATATATATATATATATATATATATATATATATATATATATATATATATATATATATATACAGCCATACAATAGGCTACTTTTAAAATTATGAAATTTAATAATCGTCATAATATCAGCTATTATCTATCCATTATCTATCTATTCAATTTATGAAGTAAAATGATAAAAATTTAAAATGATTAAAGCCTATATAACGTATGTATACTACAGTTTATACCTACTACATGACGATATCATAAATATCATCAAAATTGCAATGTAAAAGTATAGACTGGGGGAAGAAACTCGGGAATGGGAACTTCAAATTTTGTTCTACAATCAATCACAGAATTAAATCTTGGTCCCATGTATTGTAAGAAGAGTCATCAAAATAGAATGGTAAAATAATGAAGGCGATATTTTGACTCATACTGCCTAATTATAAATCACTATCTTTTTGAAGTCATTCAAAAAGTTAGAATCCTAAACTATTTCTCATAATAGAAGATCTCTATATCTCAAGACGCCCTTGTTTAATTGTTACTACTGATCTCGGTACAATTTGATATTAACGTGATGTTATATACTTACTATACTCTAAAAACCATATGATTATTTTTTATTGTCGTTTAGCAGAGTAATCAAATGAACACACGCTATTTACAATGATTTAGATATTTACTTTAGCACACGTTTTTTACGAAATTGTTTTAATATAAGACGGACAAAAAATAATATAAGACAATCGTACTAATACTAATAAATGAGAAAATTTAAAAAATACTTAAGTATTAGAAAATATGTTACTCAATTACAATCAAGAGCTACATATATTTTTTTAGCTATATTTTTTATTTTGTGCACTGTTATTTAGATAAAAAGTTATACAAAAAAGATAATAAATATACAAAATATTAAACAAACAGAACTTTTTAAGCAATAGTATTATGAATATTCACCAAATTGTTTTTATTTGTTACAGCGAATGGTTCGTTCCAACCTGGAATGGAACCTAAACGGCAGCGAACAGCATACACGAGACACCAAATATTAGAATTGGAGAAAGAATTCCATTACAACAGGTATCTAACGAGAAGAAGACGAATAGAGATAGCCCACACTCTAGTCCTGTCAGAAAGACAAATTAAAATCTGGTTTCAGAACAGACGGATGAAATGGAAAAAGGATAACAAACTGCCCAACACCAAAAACGTTAGAAGAAAAACCAACCCAGCTGGAGTTACTACTACAGCTAAAGGGGGGTCCACACCAAAGAGTAGATCAAATAAGAATACAAACAACAATGACAAGAAAAAATCTAATAACAATGGGAGACCAGACAGTATAGAGAACGTAACTGATAATATTATGAATGACTTACATTGTGTTGGCTCGCAACAAAATTTATCGCATGATCCTGCTATCAGTCCAATGTCGCATCCTGGGAATCAAATGAACACTGGCCATCCAATGACTCCACATCATCTTCATATGATGAGTATGCATGGGATGGATCCCGGAATGGTCGCTAATCTCTCCACACACGGTTCGCCTGTTGGTGCCAATGGTTGTGGAACAGGACTTAATCCTGGTAGTCAGCCAGTGATCAAATCGGATTACGGTCTCACCGCCTTATAATCTTTAAAGTATAAAGAAGCTATATTTTCATTAACGAACTCTGTAACATTTACCATTCCTTTGTGTTGATAAGATGTAATAAAGTGATGATTATTAAATATTAAGTTTATTATAAGTCGTGTAAGTATTCCTAGGATACCCAGTCATAATTGGATGTTTGCGTAATTACCTAAGTGGAAAACTCTACAATGTCAAAAGTGTGATTAATATTATTTTAGGATAGATATAAACATCTCAATGTCGAATTTGTACATTTCACTATAAGTCATTGTCTTGTACTATAAGTCTATTTATTTAATAAAAGTACTAATTTTTAAGTAAGTAAACGCAGTATTTTATTTATAAGACAATTTTGTAGAAGTGAATAATTTTATAAAATCGTCACTATGTTTCAAGTTACCATTTCACTTAACATTAGGTATTCCATGGTACCGAGTGGTATTGATTATTCTGCGAATACTTTATATTAATACTCATAACTTTGTTAATGGTATAACATGAGCTAAGTATTAAGTTATTGTATTTAAAATCATGGTAGATACCAATGAAATGTAAATGACATAAAGTCAGTTGTACCATAGAACAAAATAAAAAATAGAGATGAGATCCTGAGAACTCTCAAAATGGTTAATTAAAAAAAGATTATGAATTCAGTTAAAATAAAAAGTGAAGCACAATTGCAGATAGCGCAAATAAAATAGATAGTATTGATTTCACTAAAATTGTATTTTAATTACTTATATTTAAAAATTATAAACAAAACATGAACACAGCTAGTTTACAATTATGAATTTTATAAACTACGAGAGTTATTACTTGTATTTCTTCTGAATACTAAATAAAACTTTTTACTACACCTACACTAAAAAAGGATATAGTGAAAAGAACAGAATCACATATATATATATATATATATATATATATATATATATATATATATATATATATATATATATATATATATATATATCCCTGATGTTACAGGCGTCTTAGACTACGGTAATTCCATTTATCGTCAGTATGTATGCTTGTTTGCCACCATAGTAATATACAAGAAACCTATATAAATAAAACATAGCATTCTTTTTTATTTTATTTTAAAACATTTGGTTGTTTTTAGATTAAGATATTTATAGCACAACAAGTAATATGTCTATTTGGAAAACCCTTTAATTTATGATTAATATATATACGTAAAACAGTTCATACTTTCTTCCAAGCAGTTATATCGAGGCATGTTACAAATATATAAAAAAATTAAGTAGGTGTAGTAAAAAGACGAAAATTATCTGATCACAAATAAACTTTTGTACAAAATAACATGTTTTGTAATTTAGACAATGACTTAGGCTTACGTACAAATTGTGAATTTTAATTTTAATTGGACAAATTGTTTTGTAACTAAAATAGGAGAACTGTGAATACAAAAACCAATAAATATAGTAATGGTATGATGACAATCTTTATATTTTTATTCAAACGTACCAGCGTTAGTAGGTATTATTTATGTTAAGTTTTATCAGTAGATTCAAGAAGAAAAATCTGTTCCTGGCACATGGATGTGGTATTTTATATAGTAAATCATTGAGATAAAATAACACAGGCTTTATATCAATACAATTTCATGATTATGATGAGTAATCATAAAGAAAAAAAGTGTCCCAAAATTCTTATCGCCACTCAACTACTAAACCAAATTATCGATAGAAAAGAAAGGAAATATAAAACAGAATATTCTAAGAATAATAGAATGGATACTTCATTATCATGATGAGTAAAGTACGTTATTACGCAGATCTGAGAATAATTTTAATAGTGTTAGTACAAGAACTTAATCTTTCGAAATTATTTCAAGTCTATAATATTATATAGACAGAGACTATAAAATATTTAAAAACCTTTAAAGGCTTATGTATAAATGATACTTCGTATACAAGTATTAAAATACTGGAATAGTTTTATATATTAATAGTTTTACGCTACGGAGTCCAATGGATTATAATATTTTTAGGTCCACTTAACCTTATAACCTCTCGCATTCCTATACGTATAGATAACAATAACGATGCAAATACATCGTTTACAATAATAATTAAATTTTTAATACTTAAAATATATGATTAAAGACTTACAAATACATTCGTTCACATTTTGATCCATACATCATTCTCTTTACATCCAGATCGAAATATCCATTTCGCATTAACAATCCTGTGAACATCTCGCCTACGCACCGATCATTCGTACCCATCGCTTCGATATCATAACCTTGTGACATTCGTATCGAATGAAATGAAAGCAAAAATCGTAATGTATTCGTTCAATGCGCCGTCATCAATCAACGTCGGCGGCTCATTGTGTGGCCGGCACGCAACGAACGTATCTTCGACTTACTTTGTATACACGACCTCTCGCGCCGGGTACACGGTTTTATCATTCGTGATACAAAGCCATTGCGATTGTTTTAAAAATTCATTTGTTGATGACAGATGTGCGAATGTGCGAGCCTTTAAAGATGATAATTATTTTGGCATGTCAGCTGTTGACAACACAAAATAATAATCACATTTTGTTAGTCACTGATCGGAGTAGATATATATTGCACACTAATTTAATAATAAAGTCACTTTTTAAGATAAAAATAAATAATAAGTTTTTCAAGTATATTTGCATTTTCTAAAATATTAGAATCATCAGACACTTTATTATTATTAATAATAATAATAATATAATAATCCTTCAAAACGGCTCGAATGACCGATTTTTATGAAATTTTTTATTTATATTTGGTAGGTATGAGAATAAGAGGTAAAGTACCTTTCACACCGCTATGTAATTAGAGTGTCCCTATCTAGAATATTTATTTATATGATAGAACAACGTTTGCCGGTTTAGCTATAATAGTAATAATAATATAATAAAACTGTCATACTTTATTGTAATTATTTATATAGGCTTTACTTAAGTTTTAAATTAGAAGATTTCTCGCTACTTTAAATTAAAATAGAAGCCCTTGTTTATAAATAATTATAAGATTAAGATAGTAAATAATACTATAAATGAAAATGGGTGGCTAAAACCAACATATGAAATGAGGAATATAAATTATTTTCATATTTTTGCTATTTGTGTAAAAAAAATGGAACGGTAAATGACTAAGCCACTTAGGAAGTTTTTAACACACTACAAAAAATCCACTAGCACAAAAAAATCCCATAGAAGTTAAATATTCACAACAAAAATGTTTAAATTAGCAGCTCACAATACTTTTGCAAATCAAAGGTTTTCGTATAACAATTATGAGAAATGTCCTTTTCTGTTAACGGCGCGTCAAAGAGTTAAAGATTTTTAGTAGTAAACAATAACTCATTGTTGCAAAATTTGTATGCAAATAACCAGATTAGGCTACCATCTTCTTTTGACGAATTTATGATGCCACTGTTGTCGGTCGCAGCTTTTATGTCCCGTGTCCCTTGAGATTCTTTGTCAGGATTGTCCAGTAGCTGTTTTACAGTTACTTCCCAGTTATAGAGTAGCTGCATAATTTTTTTTTTATAATTGATTAGGAATTTATTTAATATTTACTAAATACATTGGTTATAATAATGTGTTGTTTCCGTTTGTCTAGTCAATTTAAAAAATATGATAAAATACTAGCGTTTCTAATTAATTCTGTTAAAAAAAAACGACATGATAGGTATTTAAATATAAATTTTAAGATGTCTAATTTTTTTTAAATACATAAGATGCGGGTAGGTAGATACTCTTTACTATTTCTTCTACTTACTTGACAGTTTATTTCATGCATGGTCATGAATAAAGTTAATATAAAATAATATATATTTGATTTGTAATATCTTGTAATGTCTTTACATTAATTATCATATTCCTCTATTACTATATTAATGAAAAACTGCAGTTGCCATAAACTGAGGTATATCAAAGGCTAGCTTGATATTTCGAAATATCTGCATATTATTAATAAGATATTTACGATAATTTGTAAAACACCTTGCAGAAACAGAGAACGTTCGGGAACGTACTACAGAGTCGATTGTGAACGATACTCGTAAATTTACATAGCAAGTATGTAGCAATTTAAAATCTATTCTATTGTAGCTACTACATGATTTAAGGGACAAATTAGAAAAAAAATCAGTTTAAATTTATATTCAACTAAACTAAAATTTATTTGAGTTGTTAATCTCTAACTACCTATAAGTACAATGAACTTGAGATCGTCAATAGAATAATGAGAAGTACGACTAGTCAGATTGAAACTTTAGATAGTTATTGAATCTCATTACACACATATAGTATACGATTGCCATTCGCCAGTGGCACACGTAGGAGGAACGAAAAAAGGAGCAGTCCATCATCAGCACGAAATAGTAAGTTATTAATAGGTTATGATACCTATTTGTTTTTTACCTGTAATATAATGAATTTATTCCAGAGAGAGACTTTGTACAAAAGTCGTTTGCTTGTGCACCTCTGTCCTATTCGTGTTTCTACCGTGAAACAGTTGTGTCTGCATGGCTGTGTTTCGGTTTGAAGAGCTATGGCATGAATTTACAGGGTACAGAGGAATAACATCCGAGTCCTTAGGAATGGCAACGCATGGGAGGTATCATGGGCGAAAGAGTATACTCTGTTATGTCCATGGTACTGCTCATGTCTATAGGCGACAGGTGGGCCGTCAGCCTGTTTGCTATTTTAAGTTGTATAAAAATAAATATAAATATATAATACTTAAACCACCTTGAAAAATGATGACTGATAAGTATCTATAAGGACAGGTAAAACAACATACAATCTAACATAAAGAGAGAGAGAGAGTCGGGTGTCTTTAGACATAAACTCTTTCCTCCTTATTCATAGAAACTAAAATGTCCTGAAAAGATTTTTAACTATTAGAGTGTTTTGTTGACATTTTAATTGAGAATTTAGTGCAGAAGAAATTAACAGAACAGATTAATAGCTAAAATAGTTTTTTGACATATGTTTTTATGATTAAGGAGGTTTATGACAGATAGCAACGCTATATTTCTAGGATATGTCCTAGAAATATGGCGTTGCTATCTGTATGCTATGAAAGATGAGATAGTTGACAATAATATAATCATGCAAGAACAACTGCTCAGCATTGAAAATATATATCTAAGCAACTGTGTTTCCAAAGTAGTATGTCTAAGAAAATATATCTCGTTGCCATTTATTGATAAAACTTTATAATTTAAATCTGGATTTTTTTTAAATCAGTGATAATAGAATAGTCATTCCAACTAGGCTATTGGTATATGCTCAAGGGGAATTAAGTGAGAGATAATAGGTGACAATGAAAGCAGGTCAGCATCGTAACGAATTCACCAAGAATTAATCACGGTGTTTTTTTAAAAGGGACCGTCTGGAGGTCGATCTATTAGAGTGAGCAAGGAGGATGAACTCCTTATTACTAACAATCCCTTCAACTTTGAATTTGTATTATTATTAATCATTTAAATATTAAAATAATGAAGGAAATTTAATATCAAGTGAACATGTATAATTAATCACTAATACGATAATAACTACAGATTATTTAAATCTAATATGATTTTTTACGGTTTGAAGTCCTATGTCTACTTAACTTTGTATGAAGTTGCCGCCAAATATAACCAACAACTTCAAAGACACGCAACGAATTCTTCAACTCCCACCAGGATTGGAAACAAAAGGGCTAGCGATGAAATAAAAGACTTCAATCAGGGGCATTTGGCAGGTGAGAGCCGCGCATCCCCGGGGACTGTTTAGTTAGTGCCCGACCAGTGACTTGCGATATTTACACGAATTTAGTCGTCCAATTTTTGATAACATATTTTTCCTTAATAGCAGTGTCAACTGGTTTTAA